CATGGGCACGTTCATCAATCAAGCACTGTCATTAGTTATTTACAGGGTCCTGTGATTACTACACTGAATGGCCTCTTAACACATCACTTTGCCAGTACGCTCAACACATCTCTGAGCATCCTTTTAAATTCTGGGAAATGGGAATTTTCCTGCTATCTTCTGCACCTTAGCTTGTCCACTCAGCCTGATTCCTTCCTTCCTTCTCTGTGCCAGTGGTTGTTTGCCCGCCAAGGGAAAGCTTAGCCAAAGGTCTGTAGCTCTCCCTCTCCCACACCTTAGCAGATAGCCAGGGCAACTGCCTTCTCCTCCAGCACAAGGCAGTCTTTGTGGGTTGGTAGCTGAACAGATATCACTCAGAGTAGTTAGGGGTGCTGTATAGACACAATGATATAGGCATGTGAATTACTGAGGCAAAGCCGGCACCATCATTTTGCAAGCGTGGGGACTCTGAGGGGAGGCAGGGTACGTTTTTACAGGGCTGTGAAAAACTGCTGCTCTTCCGGACTCTCACGCTGGATTTGCTCTGCTCATGCTGCCCACTTCTGAATTTTTTTAAATTTTATTTTTGCACTAACAACACTATTGTGAGGTTAAGTGAAATTTGTAAAGATTACGAAGCGTGCATAGATTGAATTCAAGTGAAAAAGTATGAATTCAAATGATAGCTCTCAGTCCGTGGGTACTATTAGAACTTAAAATGCAGACGTTAACGGAGAAAGCCCTGGTTTGAAGTGGTTTCCATGATATACAGGGTTTACAGTTTGGTTCAATGGCTTTGAGGATCCTCACTATAAAAACTGTTCCAGCACCTATGGATGTGGCAGATCATACGCTCATCCTCCCTCCCCCACTGGTATGTGCCATAACTATACTGACACATACAGTAGGTGTGTATAATAAAACCAACCACTGTCATCATTTATGCCAGGGCCTACATCATACCGAGCACCTGCAACCCGCAGTGAAATCAACAAGCATCTAGTGCCACCTTTGGCCAATGCTCATATGTGGAAAGCAATAGGCAAGTAGACGGGCATTGGTCAGTTTCATACTCGTCCGACTGAAATTGCTCACAAAAGAAGCCACATCAACAAGCTATGATCAGCAACATTTTGTCTAAGAGTTAGGCCGGGAGTCTGAGTCACACGCTGTTGAAATCCAATGGGCACCTTACCAGGCTAAATTCACAAGTTCTTTCTTAACCTGAATTCCCATTGGACTCAATGGAAGCTTTGCCTGCAGCAGGACGGAGTAAAAACTTCTGAAGGGGTGTTCAGGCCTTAGCTCTATGTGAACATTTCATGCAAGTGTTCCAACCACATGTATGTTACAGTCAATGAACTACTTGAATTGCCTCTGAATTAGGTTTGCAAATGTGAAATCCCAGACTCCCACAGGACATGACTAACATCGGTATATTTTTCCAGACATGTGCCCAAATTCTGACTGCAAGTGTGCTTACAACCCGCCACTGAAGGCAGGGGGAGTGGTGTGTGTACTTGCAGGGTTGGAGAGGGTATCATTTACAATGAAATTATGGAAATTCCATCCCTCGGTACAATTGTACTTTCTATTTCATAGGACGTGCTTTAATGGCCAAAATGTTGGGCAATTGGACACATCCATCTAGGGATCAACTGATCAGTGCAAACACACTCCTTTTGGCAAGCCTTTTCAGAACCACCCTGTCTATCCCAGTCCTCCATCAGGCACCTCCGGAATGGAGGCTTTGGAGGCTCTTGGACCAGTTTTCTTCTGTTTGAGAACCTGGCAGCAATAGACAGTTCAGGAGAAAGAAAATTTTCCAAATTGGTCTTTGGCAGGACAGCAGCAGTGACTGGTTTCAAGCCCTTTTAAGCAGCAGCCATACATTTCCCAAGCACCATCACAAGTGAAAGCTCTCCCGCAAAAGAGCCATGCTGTGCGCTAATTCTTCTTGCAACACAATGAACGCTGGCAGAGAGACAGGGCTTCCTTCCCAGCAGAGTGTACGTTGCCGATTTAAAAACTGATTGTCTTAACGTTCTGAAGCAGTCCAAGTGCTGAAAGGTGGCTGTCGTTCCACGCACTCCCATGGGCATTTGTGGCCATTCTTAGTAACCGGGAGCACACAGGAGTCTGGGAGGGATTGCTGGATTTGAACATGCAAACTTTAGGGCTAGCAAGTGAAGCGTCCGTAACAGCATGACACAATTTCCAAAAGCCATACCCTGCCATTCTATAATGCTATGGAGACACATTTTGGAAAATGGGCTGCAGCCGTAGCATTATGGAATAACCACACCCTTGGGACGTCACTTCAACGTCTGGCTTTTCTCACAGAGTTAAAGCATTTCAGAGTGGAATATTGCTTGCCCCCATGAGGCGTTGTTGGAGAAAAGCATAGTTTTGCCAGTGCTGCCAGCCAAAAGTGTAAGTCAGGCACCAACAAAACCCCTCTCCTGC